CCGCTGCTGCTGCTCGCACCGCCTTGCCCATCTGGACCGGCTCCAGCATCTTTCTTGTCGGCACCCGAAACGGGGCCGGGACCACTGCTGGCACTCGAAGCTGCAGCTGGTGACTTACGCTTGCGCCCCGCAGCACCAAAGATGCCATCACTCGAGTTGAGGAAACCTCTCTGCATGATCAATCGCGAGCCTGTAGCTTAATTGCTTGGGCCATGAGAACACTGCAGAAAGCACTGCCTTTCACCCTCAGACTGATCAGACTGTGGTCACTGTGGTCACTTGTCTCAGGAACAAAACATCATTCGTCCAGCCTGAAAATCAGGGTTCTGCATCAGGTCCACCAAAACATCCCGGCCAGTGTGGAGCAAGGGCTGCATCTTGGTGTGCGACAAGTAGAAATCCAGGCGGACCTGCACACATGTTTCGAAACAAGCAGCAATCGGCTGATCAATCAATCATTCAATCAGGGCAACCGAGAATATATAGACCCACGCACCACAGCGCAACGCGCCTTGCGTGCTGCTGGCAGGAGATCGTAAAAGTTACCGTTGCCCAGGCGCCTTTTCTGTAGGCGCTCTTGCTCCTGCCGCACCTGAGGTACACGCTTTCGGTTGCGGAGCTGGGGACATCAACCAGCAATTTGCTGATCTGAGTATTGGACCAACGGTTCCGGAGCGCAAAAGAGTTTACCGCCGTCGAAGGCGGGCGCACGACGGAGGCAGGCCATCTGCTTCAAGTCCGCCGTGAGCTGCCAGTCTTTTCGCACACACACAGTGTAGCGTCTGGGGCGGTGGATGGGGAAACCATGGTCAGCCGGGCGCAGCACACAAGAATGAATGTCATACTCTGGCAGGTTCTCTTGCAGAATGCTAACATTGAAGTTCCTTGTGCATTCGTGGAAGAACACATGCGGCAGCTCATGCTTCACCAGCTGGAGCTCGATGGCAAATGGAAGCACCGATTTCCCTGCAAGTGATAGCATGCATCCCATGGAGGACCAATCCTGGCAACTGGTGCCAGCCATGAAAATCCGGAGTCCTCCGCCGCTCTGGCCCAGCACGCTGTCGGCGTCCGGCATCATCTGGCACCTTTGGTTTGCGTGCGCAGCGCACACCACATCTTTCCGAAACAGAGGCCGATACGACTCCAAGGTTACCATCAGGCTCCGGAGTAGGCTCTCGCCATCTTCCTTGATGTTTGCTTTCAATTCGTGCTTCTTGACAGCATCGGCAGATTCCTCAGCCTTGCCTTTGTAGCAGCGGATCTTGTGGGACAGGATGACATCGTACTGTTCCATGACCCGCAGCACTGACACTGCCGCTTCTGGCTGCAACAGCTGAAGCATATCCTTGAAGATGTGCCCCGGGCCTTCGTCCAGGCTCATCAATACTTGACGACAGGCCTCATCACTTTCCACGGCGTGGTATACATAACCTCTTTGGAAGTCTTCTGCAGCTGCAGTGTGGCGCACGGGGCCGCATGTATCCCCTCTATTGCCTTCGTGCAAGCAGGCAATCTCCAGCATCTTCTTCACAAGTTCCATTCCACCCAAACCGCCTCAGCTGCACGGCACAATGCCGGCAAGATGCCGCACATTGCAGAACTGCTGCACGGCGCAATGTCGGCAAGATGCCGTACATTGCACAACTGGCACAGCACACAGCCAGAGGATGCAATACAATAACAGGTATAGGAATTAGTAATGAGCACAAGGGGCTGTATTGCGAAAACCACACCGCCTTGTTCAGATTGCGCCGGAGAATTGCCCCGCACGTCGGGTTCACATGTTCCTGGCACTGTGACACCAGGTGATGATGCCACCGGAAAGCCTTGACTGATGCGCACCAGACTACCTATGCAACCCTTATCATTCTGCGCTACTCCAACAATTCTTTGCTATCCGGACAAGAAGCTTCCACCATGCTTTGGCACGGTCGGTTGATTTCCGAGGAAACTAAATCCTTGCCATCGTTCACAGCAATTTTCTTTGCAAACCTTGCTTTGGACAGATTTTCAGCATGTGACTGCAGCACACCGATCTCCGGATCGTCAGGGAAATCGTCGTTGCATGCTTCACTCAAACTGGAAGTCTTGCGCAACTCTCGCCCACACGTCGGCGACGTGTCTGCTCTGGGAGGCGCATCTGCCATGTTATCGGATTCCTTCGCCTCGGAAGACGAACTGCTTTCAGAGTCGGAGCTGTCGGAGTCAGAGCCCGAGGAACCCGAAGATGTAGAAGAATCGGGGCCTGTCGTGCAGCGCAAGCCATCAAGCAACCCCCCTTATTGACAGAAGAGT